CCCTGCTTGGAGACCTGCTCAGGACAGGAGGCTCTCTGCTGGCCTGAGCATGAGCCCCAGGTCCCTGCAGGCTGACCCCTGGGAAGCCAGGGCCCAGTAGAGGCCTAGTTTAGCACCAGATCCACACCTCCCCCCATCCCTCAGACCCCAACCCCAGGCCTTGCTGCATTTAATGAGGCATCACTTCAGTCAGCAAGCATGTGCTGGGCGCCCTCTGTGCCGGGCGCCTTGAGGCTGGGACTTGACGCAGGAACAACTGGTCTGCCTTCCCAGAGCCTGTTGTCCCGGAGCCAGTACAACCCCTGCTGTCCTGGGGGTGTCTACACTGAGGGTCAGGGTCTGGGGTCCTTCCACATCTGCCTGCTGCATTTGAATCAGAACAGGCCTGGGCTCCTTGGGAGGGGCCTCTGTTGTCCTGAGCTTCACCCCACCTTGGACCACCCTGTGCTTGAAGCGAAGCTGTGTGGAAGAGGAGGTGTTTGGTGGAGGCAGAAGCCACCTCTCAGTCCATTTTCTTTGCCAGTTTCTGCCTAAAAATAGGGCACAGACCTAGCCAAAAGCCATGGTGGGAGACAGGAAGAGGGTTTAAGGTGAAAAGGGACCCAAGGGCCAGGGGAACAGAAACCAGGTCTTGGGCACACTGGGCTGTTGTGAGCTTGGGCTGAGCCTTGGTCACCAGGACTCCAAAAGATCCTGGGGTCGGAAGCCCCACCAACAACAGGACAAAGATGCTGCCCAGGCGGAGGTGGAAAGTGGAAGGTTGCACCCCTGGCTCAGAGGAGGGTTTTCCACAGGTGCGATGCAGAGGACAGCATCCTTGGCAGTGGGATACAGGCTCACACCCCAGGGGTTCCTGCAAGGCAAAGACCTCGTGCCCAATTTGCAAGAAAGGGGAATTCTTTGCAGGCCAATCTGGTGCCTCTTTCTGCTGCCTCAAGCCTCCATGTCCCCCCTCCTAGAAGCTGGCCCAGGTCCAAACAGCTTCAGAAACCAGCCAGTGGGAGAGCTGGCTTCTCTCTGTAGACAGTTACCGGCCTGGAGCCACTCTGGGCCTTCCAACTCCTGTATCTTTCCTGGCCTGGCTTCCCAGAGTCCATGTTTGTTGCTCATCAGCTGTGCTCTTGGGCTCATGGGGGCTCACTGGCTTGCAGAGGCCCCAGTTCCACTTGCACCCTGGCCAAGGCTTCTGGCCTCTCTGTGTTTTATGTGATTAAGAATGCAAAACCCCAGAAGGGTGGAGGCTCAGATGGGCACCCAGCTCCATACTGGCATGCCCAGAGGCTCAGGGTCAGCCTTGGGAACTTCACTGGGACCTCTCCCCTGCCAGCCCCGAGGACAGCTCTTTCCAATGCATGTGTTCATGCTAACTGTGATGTGGTAGCAACTGACCCACTGCAGCCCCGTTTCACAGACGAGGAGGGGCTGCCCAGCCCACCAATAGAATAGAGCTTACACCCAGCCACAGTTCAACTCTTAACCATCACATACAGCACCACAGTAACTTCGTATTTACACCCCTGAGGGAGAGGGAAAAGAGAATTCAGTTTGGGGATTCAAGTCTCTGAGGTCCAGAGATTTTAGTGGACCCACTGGGGTCTCCGCTTCCCTGGTGGCTCAGTGCTAAAGAATCCACCTGCCAAGCAGGAGACATGGGTTCAATCCCTGAGTTGGGAAGATCCCCTGGAGAAGGAAATGGCAACCCACTCCAGTATTCTTGCCTGGAAAATCCCATGGACAGAAAAGCCTAGTGGTCTACAGTCCATGGGGTTGCAAAAAGAGTCGAAAATGACTTAGCAATAAACAGCAACTGGGATCTCCACCACAGCCTCACAGCAGCAGGCTCCTCCCTGCCTTGCAGGGTGACCCTGGGCTCAGCTCCGGAGCTGACCTGGAGAGGAGGCTGGCAGGGCAGCTCCATGCAGCACTAGTGGAGAGATTCTCCAGAGCTCAAGAGAGGCTGCTGGGCTGCAGGATCCACCTGCCCTTCCTCGCCCAGCAGCCCACAAAGGCCTCAGGGACAGGGGAGGGCCCGGAAGGTGGGGGGGCGAGAGCTCAGGCTGCCAGACGCAGGAAGTGAGATCCCCACCTTCATATATTCTGTTGTTACTGCTGTACAGGAAATAATAACACATGTTCCTTGTTGAAAAGTTAAAAAATGTAGATAAGCAATTAAAAAAAAAAAAGGAAATTCTAGCACCCAGGCAGAAACACTGTTAACACTTTGATGTTTATCCCTCCAGCTTTTTTTCCACGCAAATCTGTTTGTATTAGTTCTTACAAGCTGCTTCCCACCCTTAGGGCCCTTCCTGCTTGTGGCTCCTCAGACTGCAGGCATGGGGATTCTCTGCCTCACCTGACAGCTGAGTTCCTGGGCCTAGCACTGTGCCCGGCACACAGTAGGTGCTCAGTAAATGTTCAAAGAGGTATTCAATAAATGTTCCTGTGTGGTTTTTTAGTAACTGCTTTTCTTTACATCATAACGCCGTCTTTCATGCCATCGACTGTGCTACCCCAAAACTTGTATGTTGAAATCCTGACCCCCAATGTGGTGGCATTAGGAGGTGGGTCATGGGAGGTGCTTAGGTCACATGTGTGGAGCCCCACTGCCTTTGTAACTGGGACCCTAGAGCACTCCCTCACCCCTCTGCCATGTGTGAACCAGACACCAAATCTGCTGGCACCTTGATTGATCTTGGAGTCAGCTTCCAGAGCTGTGAGAACTCAGTATCTGGTGTTTATAAGCCCCCTGCCCACCCCAGCCCCACCCACCCCCTGTCCCCAGTCTATGGTGTTTCTGTTCTGGCAGCCTGAAGGGACACTCTATCTCCATATGCTGAGGCCGACAGCAGGGGGCTGGGGCATTGCAACCCCTGGGGCAAGTCTGGAAGCCACTGAGTTGCAACTAGAGTTTTACTGGAGCATGGCCATCCTGTGTGTTCACGGATGGTCTGAAGCCGGCTTCACCCTGAAAGTGCAGAGGGATACTCTGTGGCCTGGAAAGCCTGAAATGCTCACCATCTGGTCCTTTAGGAAATGGCCTGCCGCATGCATCTCCCTACCCGTCCACCCTGGGTGCTCAGAGGGGGCATCTGAGGGGGCCAGCGGGGTAGAAGCGACCCTTCCTCATGTATTTAACTAACCCCATGCTGAAGCTGAAGCTCCAATACTTTGGCCACCTGATGCAAAGAGCTGACTCATTGGAAGACTCTGATGCTAGGAAAGATTGAGGGCAGCAGAAGGGGGCGACAGAGGACAAGATGGTTGGATAGCATCACCAAGTCAATGGACATGAGTTCGTGCAAACTCCAGGAGATAGTGAAGGACTGGGAAGCCTGGTGTGCTGCAGTCCAGGGGGTCGCAAAGAGTTGGACACGACTTAGCAACTGAACAATAACAATCTTTATCTCTTTAAATGCTTTCACATCACCAATTTTTGGAGCAACAATAAAGCATCCTTGTTTTAGACAACTTGCTTCTCAAGCCACAGAGCCCTGCTTGCACTGGCTCCCCACCACCGGCCAGCTCCTACTCACCCTTTGAAGCCTGGCTGAACAAGCTCCACCCCCAGCACCAGCTCTGAGCTTCTGGGAATTCACCCCCTCAGCATCAGATAGGTTGCCTCGAGCCAAGTGCCAGAAAACCCAGCGCCTTGGGAGGGGAGCAGAGCTATGTCCAGGCTGTGTGCAAGTGACGCATTGCTCAGGCGAGGCCATCACCACACCCTCCACCTTGTCCTCCCCAGGGCCCAGTGCGCCTGTTCTGGAGGCTCTGCAAGGCACGCTGAGACTGTCAAATTTGCAAGAACGGGAGGTGGTGGGGCTAACAAGGCTTTCACAAGCTTACACCCATGGGCTGGGTGCTTCTTTGACTAACCTAGAAAGGACACTTTATCTCAGAACCCCTGCTGTCAGAACTGGACTGTTTTCCTACAGGATTTGGCATTTCTCTTGTTGTTCAGTTGCTCAGTCATGTCTGACTACTTACCACCCCACGGACTGAAGCATGACAGGCTTCCCTGTCCTTCACCATCTCCTGGAGCTTGCTCACTCATGTCCATTGTCTTGGTGATGCCATCCAACCATCTTGTCCTCTGTCGTTTCCCTTCTCCTGCCTTCAAGCTTTCCCAGCATCAGGGTCAGCTCTTCGCATTAGGTGGCCAAAGTATTGGAGCTTCAGCATCAGCCCTTCCAATGAATATTCAGGATAGATTTCCTTTAGGATTGACTAGTTGGATCTCCTTGCAGTCCAAGGGACTCTCAAGACTTCTCCAGCACCAGTTCAAAAGCATCAATTCTTTGGCGCTCAACCTTCTTTATGGTCCAACTCCCACATCCATACATGACTACGTGAAAAACCATCGCTTTGACTCTGCAGCATTCTCTTACTTATTAATGGCTGCACCAAGTCTTACCTGTCGCACATGGGATCTGTAGTTGCAGCATGTGGCAGAGTTCCCTAACCAGGGATGGACCCCAAGCCCCTTGCATTGGGAGCGTGGAGTCTTAGCCACTGGACCACAGGGAAGTCTTTCACTTTTAAAAATGAGACAAGTGAGCCCAGAGAACTGCTGTCCCAGAAGAGCAGAGCATGCCACACATATGTACACACACGTGCACATTATCATACACGGCAAACATGTTTTGTCCCACACACTGACCACACACATGCTCACATCAGAGACAGATACAGTAAGACACAAGCATACATGCAGTCACAACTGAGTGTGCTGAGACACAGGCATTCCACCAGAGGCAGCACTGGGGGGACCGGGTTGCAGGGCTGGGGGGGGTGGGGAGAAACTCCTCATTATTTTCTCAACCCTCCTCCAAAGACATGTCCGTCATTCTGGTACCTTCCCACAATCAGCCCCCAGGCCCCACCCTTCCCCCCAGGGGTCTGCTGCCCACTCTTGCAAACAGCTGGTCTGAACATTCAGTGTCACTGCCAAGGCTGAGAGGGGGATGGCCTTTGTGAGGTCACAAAGCAGTGGGACTCTACCCGGACCCCACTCCCTACCCAGAACCCAGTTCTCTCACCTCCCTTGACTCTCCAGGGCACAGAGTACCATAGGGCATGGAGTGCTTGTGGTTGGCTGGGCCATCTGAGCCGCTCCACCGTTAACTCGGTCCTTGCAGCCCCTGTGAACCTGCCCAGGGCCAGCTGGAACACATGACACTGTCCAGGACGAGCTGCCCTGCTTCTTGGCTCCCCTGACTAGGAGTCCCGGGCACCTGATACTGATATTGCTGCTTCCAAGATGGTGACCTGCTTCACTGGGTGAGTGAGATCTCTGCACCTTTTAACCCAATCTCAGCATGCTACTTTGCTTAAGAAGCAAGCTGCCAGGTTCAGCCCACACTTAAGGGACAGGACAGACACATGACAGTGAACCAGTGGCTAGGTCAGGAGGGGAACACCCTTGTGCTTCCAGTCTGCGCAATGATGAGGGCAGTGTGAGCCAGGGAGACAGGCAGCAGCAGTGTCCAAAGGGTGGGCACCTCCAGGTGACGAAGACCTGGTTTTGTACCCGACTCACGTGAGGGCTTTGAAGATATTCTTGGTGAAGCCTCCTGGATAGTGCTCAGACCCTCTGCCCTCAGTCCCTTTCAACAGTGACCCAGTTTTGCCTCCTCCTCCCCAGGAAGCACCATCCTTCCTGGTGAAATTTTCAAAGAGGCAGTAACTAACCATGCAGTGTGTTTCATACGCTTGCAACTGGGGCTTAAAAAGGAGGGGAGCACAACTAAAGCACCAGAGCTGGAGGGTGGCAGGACCAAAGTCTAACACAGCTTCCCACTGCCCCACAGGCAATGACCAAGAAGCCCTGAGCCTTTCCCAGGAGGGTGGGCTCAAAGAATCTGGAAGGCCAGCCCTCCTGTAGCCTGGTGACTGTGGCCAGTCACGGCTGCAACCCAAGGCTGACATGTGCCCACACACTGGTGAACCAGCCAAAGGACTTACAGAAAGAAAACTCCACAAAGTTTTGTGTTAAGACTTTGTGGAGCTAAAACTGCTTTGGTTACTGCTGTGTTCCTGGGACACAGTGGGTGCCCAACACCTGAGTTCCTTTTCTCCATCCTGAAAACTCCCTGCATTATCACTTTCTAACTTCTCCACCCAGCACATGCTTGTCATCAGCTTCTACAGTCCCCAGCATGATCAATGCCAGGCTGGCCCTGTGTCAGCTCACTCCTTGTCCTCTGGTCTGGTTCTAAGCAGCTGAGGCAGCAAAAAAGAATATTGACACTGGTAAATTCCTAGAACTGGGCACGAACCACTGTGGATTCAGGCGGAGATTGGAGAAGGGAGGTCATAGCTTCTCACTGATTCTCCTTACATCTGGATCTTTTATGAAACAAAGACCTTATTTTCCCTCTGTAATACCCTGAAAGCACACAAGAAAAATATTAAGTGCAACCACCTATGTGAGACCTAGATAAAGGAGGACTGTCAGCTCTTTTGCATAGGTGTCTCAGGCAGTAAAGAGTCCACCTGCAAAGAAGGAGACCCTAGATCAGGAAGATCTCCTGGAGAAGGGAATGGCTACCCATCCCAGTATTCTTGCCTGGAGAATCCCATGGACAGAGGAGCCTGGCGGGCTATAGCCTATGGGGTTACAACAAATTGGACACGACTTAACGACTAACAACTTAAAGGGGTACCAAAAAAAAAAAAAAAAAAAAAAAAAAGCCCAAGTAGCCTCAGCTGGAAATTAGGATAAATTTCAAATCTTTTAAAATAGCCTGTAACTTAAAATAATCAAGGAAGAAACACAGAACAAAGTAAACTAAACTGGTTATCCATCCCTGAAACCCACAGTTCTGCCCAAGTAGACACTAACCACAGCAGCCCCTGGCCTTGCACACCTTGAGGCCTCTGTGCCCTCCACTCTGAGCACTGTAGCCAAGGCTCCAACAGGAAGGCAGTCGCCTGACCTGGGGGATCGTCCCAACTTCTCACCAGGATCCCGAACACAAAGCAAATGGAACCAGTGGCTTGGGCCATCCAGAGGCAGCGCCCCATGAGCCTTCTTTCATGGATGGATCATGAGGCTTCAACCCCCAGGCCTCCACACCAGCTGATCCTTGACGGGTCTTGAATTTTCAATACCCTGAGTGTACATGTTAAATCAGCGTCTTATAAACTGTTAGCTTTAGATGTGAAAATAGTATTTTAATAGTAATGGGAATACACAGCACCTCCTGGGCTGGAGGGTCCAGACAAGAACACTCACTAAGCACAAGCCTCCCAGGTACCAAAGCGCTTCCCTCACAACTCTGTTGTGACAAAGGTCAGACACACCTCAGGTCCCCCTCGAGGTCCCCCCAGGCCCTTGCTCCTTACATAACGAAGGTCACATGGACACTGCAAGTTTATCATAAGTTGCCAACAGCACTTTATTTTTTCTTTTCAACATCCTGTTCTGCGGCTTCCTTGGCCCTTTTTGCCCGGATGCCAAAGAGCCGGGCGTTGGCGCGGGCCATGCGGAGACTAGCAAATGCCTTAAAGTTCTTCTCCTCCTCTGTGATGACTCTGGCTTTCTCCTTCTTATAGACCTAGAAGGGAGCCCAGCAAACTGTCAACAAACTGAGAGGCCTTGGAGGGGAATCCGCCCACCAGAGTAAAGCTGACTGGAGGCCACCAAAAGATTAGGACAGTACCTCCTTGGTTGAAAGTAACCCCCAACTCAGAACCTAGTGCCCAAATCATGTGAAGGGTGGGTGGGGCTTGGATACAAAGTGGGTGTAGGGGTTCAGGCCCACCCCACCTCCCACTCCCAGGAGCCTCAAGGGCCTTGTCAATTGCTGGTCAGGCTACAGGATCACCAAACTCGCATGGAGAGCTGCCTCCAGCCTGGGCTTCCCACAGACATCAAGGAGTGGAAAGGACCCTACAGAAAGGGTAGCAAGTGAGGACAACAAAGCTTTCCTCAAGGAGTCCCTCTGTTTGGATGCAACTGACTCTCCTCAGGGCAGAAGGAAGGTCTTTCACAAACTCAACATGGGCCCCAGCTGCCACACAGTATCCCTCCAACCCGACCCCAGATCCATCCTTCTCCCAACACGCCCACTTACGTTCCGTATTGGCATAACAGGTCCAGTCAGCTGAGTGGCCAGTTTGAGCTCTTCAGCCTGTTTGTCAATGAGAAGGGAGTCAGGTGAGTTTAGCTCATCTCCCAAGGAGCCCCAAACTTATCACCCCTGTTTGAGTGCCTGTTCCTGCCTGATCAAGTAAAGGAAGGCACGGTCAGATGAGAGTCACCCACGCGTGAACCAAGGATGCAGGGAGAATGACTGCCAGCAACAAATGTAGATGGGCACTGCTGATCTCATACAAACACTACTAACATGCAGTACACTTTCAATTTTAACAAAGCTGGCTCCAAGTCCTGCCCTTAGTGAATCCTGGCATTACAGGCAATTAGTTTGATGCTCCTCAGAGGTTTTCTCCCACACTGTGTATCTTTTCTCTACTACTCTACTACTTTGCATGGCAACCCTACTTTAGATAGGAAGCTGCGGACAGGTACTTTGTCCTTGCAGCCCAGCTAGACCCACAGCGAGACCTCCACACCCCTCACCCCGCTGGGCGCTGTGGGAGTCAGGTACTCACAGAGCTGTCTCCCTTCTTGGGGGCCGAGGGCTTCCTGGGGAACAGGATAAGTTTGGAGCGGTACTCCTTGAGCCGCTGCACGTTGGCCTGCAGGGACTCCGTGCACTTGTTCCGCCGCCTCGGGTCCACCGAGATCCCAATGGTCCGGGCCACCTTCTTGTGGATGCCGGCCACCTGCCCCGACAGAAACAGCTGAAGCCCCGAGAACTCCCTGGCCCCCACCCCCTACACCAGGAGGGCCCAGCCGTCAGATGGAAAAGGGTTCAAATGCACTTTCATCATAGCAGTGCAGCGATTCCGGAGAATGTCATCACTTGGCTGTGTGCCACTTAGAACAACCAGTGGGGCTCAGGACACGGGCTGGCGACACTCACCCTAAGCTCCTCCAGGCTGAAGCCCCTGCCGGCGCGAACCTTCGTGTGGTACCTGACCGTCGGGCATCTCACCACCGGCCGGAGAGGACCCGACGCGGGGCGCGGGGCGATGCGGCGCGCTTTGGCCTGCCGGGCCTTGCGTCTGCGCAGAGAAGCCGAGCGGGGATCACTGTCCGCCCTCCCGCAGCAGGCCGGGCGCGCGGCGAACGGGACGGGAGGAAGGGGCGCGCTCGCTCCCGGTCGCTCACCTACGGATCTTGCGAGCCGGCTGGTTGAACCATGTGGCCACGCGCCGCTGCCAGTCCTTGTGGAAGTGGGGCTTCAGGATCATGCCATTCCGGCTGGGCGCCATGGCTGCGGCCGAAAGGCCTGGGGAGCGGGTAAGACAGGGAGCGAGTTAGGTCCGGGGGCAGAGTCCCGTCGGCGTGGGCACAGAGCACGGGCCAAGGCCCGGAGCCGCTGGCGACAGGTGGACCCCAGGGACGGCGGATGGAGCCAGATGGGATCGGATAACAGCGATGGCGCCTAGCTCCCAAATACTCACCTCCTCTGAGGGCTCACGGCCGGGAAAGGAGGAAGTGCCCCACAGCACCCTGGGATGGTAGTGAGCCCGGCCAATCAGAAGCGTCAGAGCCTTGTAACTAATCAGAGCCAGGGCCACAGAGTGACGTCTATGCCTTCCCGGCAGCCCTCGCGGCGCGGGCTGATATGGCTCTGCGTTGCAGGCGTTATTGCGATTGCTGTTAGGGGAACAGCGGTTGTCTGGGTCTGGCGAATCTCTGGCCTGCCAGCCTGGTAGTGCGCCAAGGGAGGCCTCGCCCTCCGCGTCCCAAGCTGTAATGCCGGCTGCCGCGTGGAGCCTGCTCACCCTCCTTGTGGGCGGAGCGCGCACTTAGGAGCGGGCTTCCAGAGCGCCCTGGACGTGTCGCCCGGAGCCTGGGCGCGCAGAGGGCTGTCGTCGGGCCGCTGGTGGCGAGTAGCCCGCAGAGAGTGTGGAGCTAGGAACCGTGGCCGGCGCTCCGCTGTGCACACTGCCTTCCACGCAGATGAGCGTCGTAAAAACACCAAGTAGCCAGGCAAGCGTCCGCCTCCTGGACCCTGGCGCCTCCTGTTCACGGGTCAGCCTGGGACGAAGCCAACACATCTGCCACCTGTGAGCCTTTGCCCCCAGGTACCGCCTTCCTTTCCTACCCTCACGCCAATCGCCAAGATTCCTCTCGCGAAACTTGATCACCGTTTTAAGAATTTCGTGACGCAAAATGAGAAATTCGAAGGTCTGTATCCTGCACTGAGTAAACAGGTAGCTGATATTGATGCTGATAGCTTTGTGCCCTCTTGAGACACCCTTGGGTACTAGAAAAATCAGGTTGGGGCTCAGTGAGGAATTACAAGATTACGGTAAGGTAGACAAAACATGTTAAGGGCAGAGGAGGTGTGTAACACAAGTGCCAAGCCTGGGGGAAAGGTTGGAGCCCTGACACCTAGTAGGTGTGTGCTCAGTTCTGAAGCAAATCAACCCTGAATATTCATTGGAAGGACTGATGCTGAAGCTGAAACTCCAATACTTTGACCACCTGATGTGAAAGCCAACTCATTGGAAAAGACCCTGATGCTGGGAAAGATTGAGGGCAGGAGGAGAAGGGGGCAACAGAGGATCAGATGGCTGAATGGCATCACCGATTCAATGGACATGAGTTTGAGCAAACTCCGGGAGATAGGGAAAGACAGGGAAGCCTGGTGTGCTGCAGTCCATGAGGTGGCAAAGTGTTGGAGGCAACTGAGTGACTGAACAACAGCAGCAGCTGTGAAGCAAGGGCAGTACCAGGCTTGCTTTGCTGACAGTTGTTAGCAAATACAAAAAAGCTCTTCTCAGTAAACTTGGAAGTGATACTTATCTCTGAAGATAGGGTCATGTTTAAAATCTCTAGCCTTTCACAGACACAGACAGCTAAACTGGAAGGTCAGCGATCCAGAGGAAAGTGTCTGTGGAGTTGGCTAGTATACTATTAGAATCTTTGTACTAGATTTGAGACTTTGGGTATGTGATTGGTGTGAAATGGGAGAAGCTGCTGGGAGCCCTGTTAGGCCTCAGGACAAAGCTCAGTGCCCAGCTCTTGGTAAGTAAAGGTCACACCACTTTGTTTCCAGGTGACAGAGTAGGAGCCAGGGTGGGGAAGGCAGGGCAGGAGAGAAGGAAGGGAGAGAGCAAGAGATTATCCACCTCACAAATTACTTTGTCCATTGAAACTGAACCCACAGTCCATTCTAGCAGCAGAGGGTCTGTGTAGGAGATGTTTGCTGAAGAAATGCTTGCGTTGGCCTGGGGTTTATTTCTTCAGACACAATACAATGTTAGCTCTCATCTTCCATGTCTTTTTTTTTTTAACTAAAGATTTCTTTATTATTTTACTTTATTTTTGACTGTACTAGGTCTTTGTGACTGCACAAAGGCTTTCTCTAGTTGCAGTGCTCCAGCTCTAGGTGCCCAGGGATCAAACCAGTGTCCCCTGTGTTGGTGGATTCTTAACCTCTGGAGCATCAGGCAGTACCCCGTGTCTTTGAGACACTTTTCAGTGATTCTGCCATGGGTCCTTCTCATTGAGAACACAGTCCCCATCCTCTTCTCTTTCTGGACAGACCTATTCATGCAGCTCATCTGCTCATAGTCAGGGTGCTGCCAGGGTACCGGGGGAAGATTTGAAGTCTGGAGTTAATGGTGAGTAGGTGAAGCTATAGCTTGAGGACCTCAGTCTGCTGCACACAGCTCAGCAACCCAACAGTTTTTCAACACCTGAATAGTTCACACTTGAGTCCTTAGGGAACATGCAGAACAGTAAGTCCCGAGGCTTCCATGTGACTGCTGAGAGCCTGCTGAGCTTCCCAGTTGGGAAGACTGAAGAAGTGAGCAGGAGTCCTGATGCAAACTCTTGTTTGCTCCAGGTTGTAAAAGTTTTCAGCTACAGGACAAGCCCCTCCCTGCTTGGCACAGAACTCCATGGCACAACTCTGCCAAGGGGCTTTTGTTCCAGTCTGGGACCTGCAAGGGCTGCTGAAAGGACTGGCCAGTGGCCCTGTACTCAGTGCTCACTGGGCACAAGGTTTCTGGAGGAGCACCTGGAGGGTGGGGTACACATGGCCTCCCAGAATTTCCTTGTAATTGTGCTCCAGTTACTCACAGAGGAGTCTGCTTGCCCCATACCTTGACCTGACTGGCCCCCTCCAGCTGGTGCTTCAGGGTCAACCTCAAAGCCAGTCAACACTACCTCCTGGAGCCCTTTGACACACAATCTTGATTTTTTTTTTTTTTTAAGTTTTTTATTTATTTATTTTTGGCTGCACTGGGTCTTCATTGCTGCATGCAGGCTTTCTCTAGATGCAGTGAACAGGGGCTGCTCTTCATTGCAGTGCACAGGCTTCGCCTTGCGGTGGCTTCCCTTGTGGAGCACCAACTCTAGGATGTGTAAGCTCAGTAGTTGCAGCTCCTGGGCTCGAGCACAGGCTCAGTAGTTGTGGCACGTGTGTGTAGCTGCTCTGTGGCTTGTGGTGTCGTCCTGGATCAGGGATCAAACCTGTGTCCCCTGCTTTGGCAGGTGGATTCCTAATCACGGGGCCACCAGGAAGGTCCCACAGTCTTGATTTTAAAAGTTAATCTCAAGGAATTCCCTGGGGATCCAGTGGTTAGGATTCTGTGCTTTCACTGTCAAGGGCCTGGCCGGGTTCAGTCCCTCGTCAGGGAATTAAGATCCCACAAGCTGTGCAGTGCAGCCAAAATAATAACGATGTGTGTGTGTGCCAGGTCGCTCAGTCATATCTGACTCTTTTCGACCTTATAGACTGTAGTCCACCAGGCTCCCCTGTCCATGGGATTCTCCAGCCAAGAATACTGGAGTGAGTTGCTATATCCTCCTCCAGGGGATCTTCCCAACCCAGGAATCAAACCCATGTCTCCCGCATTGGCAGGCATATTCTTTACCACTAGCGCCATCTGGGAAGCCCAATAATAATGATAATTAATTTAAAACATTAATCTCATAGCAGCAATGTGTTTTTATTGTTTTGACACACAAAAAAAGTCATGTTCTTATAGCACTTTGCAGAAACTAGCACACTAACAGTGTCCTCAATATGAATCATTGGTTGAATTAGGAAAAGCAGGAGCCTAATAACTCAGTAGGGACAGGTTGATGTTAGTGCTTCACCACAGAACTCAACCATCCGGCCTCTCAACTCTCCAGTCAGTTCAGTTGCTCAGTCGTGTCCAACTTTGCCACTCTATGAACTGCAGCACCCCAGGCTTCCCTGTCCCTCACCAACTCCCAGAGCTTACTCAGACTCTTGTCCATCCAGTCGGTGATGCCATTCAACCATCTCATCTGTCATCCTCTCTCCTCCTGCCTTCAATCTTTCCCAGCATCAGGGTCTTTTCCAGTGAATCAGCTCTTCATATCAGGTGGCCAAAGTACTAGAGCTTCAGCTTCAGCACCAGTCCTTCCAATGAATATTCAGTGTTGATTTCCTTTAGGATTGACTGGTTTGATCTCCTTGCTGTCCAAGGGACTCTCAAGAGTCTTCTCCAACACCATCAATTCAAAAGCATCAGTTCAAAAGCATCAATTCTTTGGTGCTCAGCTTTCTTTATGGTCCAGCTCTCACATCCGTCAGAGCCAATATATAAACCTGATCAGAGACTGGGAGATGCTGTAATATGAGGACCACCTCATGTCAGTGACCACCTGGTAGTGTGTTACTGTAACACAGATGTCTTACATGAAAGTTGCTAACAGAGTATCTTGAAAGTATTCATCACAAGAAAATCTTCTGTGACTGACTGTGTATGGTGACAAATGTTAATTGTGATCATCTCCCAGTACATACAAATATGAACCACTGTCTTATACACCTGGCATAGGACCTCAACAAAAAACTTTAAAGACAAAAAGTGTAACAAAAAAATTGTATTTATTTGAGCATAGATCAGATTGGAAAACAACTTGCATTATGATGTGTGAACTCTTTAAGTTAATTTTTCCAATATTCTTTGTCTTCTGGGCTTTGATGTGTTAAATATATGTTCACTTAATGTCTGTCTCAGCAAGGAGCCCTCACACACCTGAGACAGTTCCAGAAACTGCAGTCAGGCCACGCCATATCCGCTCTGCTGGGCAGAGGTTGCCCAGTGGTCTGGCTGCTCTGACAGCCATGAGCTGCTGTGGGAGAACCTCTTCACCCCCAGGAGCCCGTTAGGGAGGCGTGAGGAGTAGCAGAGGTGGCTGAGGCCCCACTCCCAGGGCTCTCCCCGAGTGCTGTGTCTCAAGGACCAGGAGGTGACATCACCTGTGACAACTCATTTCAGTACATCAGAGCACTGTCCCATCGGCCTCCCCTTGCTGGGTTCCCATGAGCCCGATCCCTGGCAAGCCCTGGGAAGGCAGGCTGCACTTCCTCCACTACAGTGAGGTGCCCCTCTTCACCCCACTTAACAGCCTATTCCTGGCTAAGTGTCACCAGACACTGGCCGTTTTAATGGTAAAGTACAAGGAGGTGAGCTCGGCCACGTCCCAGTGAGGTCACAGAGGGGCCCCACCCTCCTAACTCCAGGCTGTCTTCAGGAATGAAACAGGACGGGGCAGAGGCAAGGTGTCCCCCCAGGGCCCCTCCTCGGGTAGGCACCCGCACCTGCCCTGCCCGTGCTTCTCTGGGGCACTGGGCGTGGGGACGGCTCCAGGTGCTGCGCACAGAAGGGGAAGTAACAAGCAGCACGTCGTGTCACAGGGGACTCAGGGCCCCGAGTGCACCTCGTCCATCTGTTCCCCCCGCAGCTGCTCAGTCTTAAGGGAGCTAGTTCCTGCACAGCTGACCTCTCACCCTGCAGACGTGGGATCCCTGATCCAGGACGCCATCAGGGCAGAGCTGACCACGCAGGAGCACAGGCTTCCCTCCCCACCCCCCAGGGGCCCGCGTCCACACTGCAGGAGGTGGCCATGCCTTACTCCTCCAGGCCCAGCGCCTGCCCCTGACTGACCGCTGACCAGCGAGCCCAGGACAGGGCCCCACAGAGGATAGGCAGCAAAGGCCTCAGAGGCCCTTCGTGTGCAGAGCTGGGGGTATCCTGACCAGGTCTCAGGGGCCAGGAGGAGCCTCAAACCATGAAACTGTCCAGATCCCTCGCAAGACGGGGCCACTCCACGCGCACCTGTGATGAGCACAGGTGGCCTTTCCACACGAGGACAACCCACACACACAGATGAACCATCCATCTCGGCAGAGATTTATTCCTCCAGGCAAGGAAGTCAATAAATAGATCTTGGGGGGCCTTGACTAGTGAGAGGTGAGGACTGCATGCCCAGCACCCCCAGCTAGCACCAGCATGGAGGCGTGGGTGGGGCACCTACTGGGGCCAGGATGGCTCCTCCCAGAGCAGGGGCAGCTGCTAGGCCCCTTCCTCCTCCCCTGAGTCCTGCTTCTCCCTCTGGGCGTCGCTCCACTTCTGCGGTGCAATCCTTTTCTTGGGCCCGTGGGGTGGCGGGCCGATGAGGGCCTCGATGTCCTCGTAGTTGATCACTTCCTTTTCCAATAGGGCGCTCGCCAGCTGGAGGAACAAGAGAGCAGTGTGAGCGGCAGATGGGGGCCCAGACAAGAGCCCTTTGAGAGCAGAGCACGGAAGGGGAGGGCCCGGCCTCCCAGACCTGCCACTTCCCAGGGACGCAGCACAGGCGGGCAGCCCACGCAAAGAATAGCTCCCTGTCTCCACCTTAGAGACAAGCCCAGCTGCCAGCCTCATTAACTTTTCTACTTCCCTTCCCAATCTGTTTATTTTGGGCAACTTGGATTTCTTCTGCAAATGCGTGAGTGTCAGCATGGGGGGCAGCGGAGCTGACGTGCAGGATATAGCCCCCAGTGATGGGTTCCCGTCACCCCCCACACTGGCTGCTCTGACAGCTGGCCCTTGGACAACACGGGCTTGAACTACGAGGCTCTGCTCACACTCGGGATTTTCTTCAATGAACCTGACTGCAGGACTGGAGACCTACAAGCCACAGATGCAGAATAGTGGGCAGGGAGGGCCAATTGTGAAGGCGGCACCCAGGGTAAGTTGTGTGGCACTCAGTCCTGGAACTCCAGGATGGTGCAGGCAGGTCACGGGGCACACAGCAGCAGGACAGACTCAGCTCCCATGACAGGGTCCTGGCAGGTTCTGCACTGCCCACGGCTCCCAGCAGGCACGTGTTGCTGGTCTGAGGACCCCATACCACAGTCCCCACAACGTTGCCTTGAAGAAACAGCTGACCATCCACCAGGAGCTGCCCCTTCACTAGGTCCAGAGATGTTGTGCCTCTGGGGTCACTCCAGACCCGACACCCAGCATCACTATGAGGACATCACACACAGCCCAACTGGGGATGTTCCCCACACACAAGACCAGCCCTCATGCTCAGCTGTCTACAATAGGAGGGGGACTATCCCAGCCAAGAGGGCCTGGCAGAGGTGAGCACGGAGAACAGAAGGTGACCTGGGTGAAGTGTGGGTGTGGTGGTCACTGTGTTGTGGAAAACAAGCCTGACTGACGGGAGGACTGGTCATGGGCTGAGGGTTCTGTGCCATGTTTGCAGCTCCCTGTGCGTCTAAAACTCTTCTGAGCTTTAACGTTTAGTGTAAAATTTCCAGAAGTTTAAGTTGGGAAGGGATTAAGCCACATCAACCAGACCCACTGCACACAAGCTGGTAATGGGCCCCGAGAGCTGGCAGTGTCCTCCTGTCTGTCCTGAAGGAACTGGCCCTGGCCTGGCAGGTGCATGACATGAGGCTAAACAAGGCAGGGAAGACGCTGGATCCAGTTGAGCTGGATGGGGCCCGTTGGTCATGTGGTTTTCTGGGATGGGTGAGTGGCTGCGTCAGTGGGAAGTGACAGCGGCCCAGCTCCTGGCAGGCGTGGGACCAGGGACAGCGGAGGCTCACCGCCTGGAGCTTGTCCATGTTGTCCCGGAGCACCTGTTCCGTGTGCCTATAGGCAGTGGCCACCAGCAGCCTCGCTTCCTGCGAAGGGAGAAGATGTGTGACGGGTCAGGATGGCTGCCACTGTGCACAGGGTCCCCTGCGGCCTGGCCCCGGCACTAAGGTACACGAAGAAACACAAGTGCAGAGCACGGCCTTCAGTGTCTCACAGGGCACAGGAGAGCTCGGCGGCCGAGAGTCTGCTGCCTTCACCTCCACGCCGAGAACTCCCTGTGCAAGGGGCTGCCAGCTCCTGGAGACTCGGACCCGGTTTCGTCCTCCACACCCAAAGCTGCCTACGTGCCAGTGCGCCAGGCCGCCAGAGCTGCCCAAGGGTGGTGACACTGGCCGTCTCCTCAGGCTGCAGAGATCACAGGTGCTGGCTCTGTCCCCAGAGGCATCTATTTGCTGCCCCTGATGCCCCCGCGGCACCCACAGTTCCATCAGGAGCCAGTGGGTCCTCACCCAGAACCTCAGCTCCTGTAGGCGCAAGGTCAGCACACCACACCCCCTCCCCACACACATGGCTCAGATTGGGAGGGACTCACGTGGTCCATCATCTGCTGGAGGCCCTGGCTGAACGGACGCCGTCCGATGCCTGTGACACCCTCTTGGGCCTCAGGGAAGGAGACAGGCCCAATGCTGGGCGCCATCCCAAACTGCTTCACCATGGAGTAGGCGATGCGGGTGACCTTCCGCAGGTCGTCCTGTGCCCCTGGAGTGTGGAATCAGAAAAGGAGGTTCTACCCTGGAGCTGCAGGTCAGGGGCCCCACCAGCCCTGACAGCAGAGGTGGGTCCCCATGGAACAACTGTATCCTGTCACTGGTCCTTAAACCTTAAAAAAATTTTCTTTTGTGTAGAAAAACAACTCAGGGTTTCCCTGGTGGTCCAGTGGTTGGGAATCCACCTGCCAATGTAGGAGGCACGGGTTCAATCCCAGGTCCAGAAGATCCCACATACTGAGGAGCAACGAAGCCCATGGTCAACAACTACTGAAGCCCAAGTGCCCCCCCAGAGCCCATGCTCAGGAACAAGAAAAGCCACCACAATGAAAAGCCTGCACGCCACAACCAAGACCCAGTGTGGCCAAACACAAAGAACCCTTAATAAAATTCAAGGTGGCGTGTGCATTCTGCTTAGACCCCTCCAGATTCCCCCTCCCTTGCAGAAGGGCTGAGGGTGCCAAAGCAGCGCGGGAGCTGCCGCTCACCGGAAGTGACCCTGTTGAAAGAGATGGACTCGGACGCGCGGCCGCCCAGGGCCATGCACATGCGCTCGAATAGCTGCTCCCTGGTGAAGAGGTGCTGGTCTCTCGGGAGCATCTGAGCGAAGCCCAGGGCCGCATTGGTCCGAGGAGTGATGGACACCTGCACAATGAGGTGGTCTGTTAGCCGGGAGGGCCCAGGCTTCAGAGATGAGGGGGCACAAGACAGTGTTTGCTCAGTGGGTTCAAAGCAAGGAAGCCAATCTGAGGTCCCCATATTTATAAGAGCATTTGCAGAGAAGGGCGTGAGGACCCCGCACATGACCACGTGTCCGTGAAAGAAAGACTAGTGACAAGAAGAGGTGAGCCCACACAATGAGGCTAGCCCTAAGTAGGCATGGGTCTGAGGGTCATGGCCGCGGGAGGCCACCCCGAGGCTCTGAGGCATGCACGTCATCATGCTGGCTGGCAGGGAGCTGGGTGCAGGCGAGAGGACCTTCTCAGCACAACTCGTCTACCTGGCCCTCAGCCACCAAATGAATGTCCTGCATTCATTTTCTTGAGATACTGCATGAAAACACTGATCTTAATCACTGGGTCTCCTCACACACACGGGGCTCAACCACAGCCCTCTACAGAGGACACAACGAACCAGCCTGAGCAGCAGGGCACCCTCCAAGGCAGCCTGACAGCAACGCTCGGCTGTAGCCAAAACCCCCGGGAGACACCCGTACCTAGGTTGCAGCTGCCAGCATGGCCCTCTGTCTGGAGGTCAGGGAACAAGGAATGAGGGGGGACAGGTCCAGGTGGAGGGCAGTTAACAACCCTCAACAAGGGGCACCCATGTCCCCAACACGGGCACCGTCCCCAGTGGTACCTCAGGGGTGCCCTGTCAGAATGCTACCACCAGGGCCGGCGTCATGGCATTAGCCCTGCCACATACATAAGGTGTGCTGACCTCCTTTCTAAGTCAGCACATCTCAGAGCTGATGGTTCGCCTGGCAGTTCTTATTTCCGCAGCCTACCACGCAGATGGGGAGGGAGACCACAGGTCGTCATGTGGCTTTCCCACAGTCACCCTACCTCCGCCCCTCCGGGCACAAAACGTAGGCCTTCCAAAGTGAGCCCAACTGGGCAGCCAGGCCAGGGCTGCCCACACACACCTTCATCACAGCCTCCGTGTGCTCCAGCAGCCAGCCCACCAGGGCGTGGCCCGACTCGTGGAACGCAACCACCTTCTGCTCTTCCTTGGACAGGACCTTGCTCTTCTTGGCAGTCCCTGAAAGAAGCCCAGAAAGGTGAGCTCAGGCACCCTGGGTATATGGCAGGCATGTTCTCGAGGTGCCAACACAAAGTTGCTAGTCGGCACCGGACACTCAGCTTCTGTGTCCCCAGCCCAGCCACCCATCCTGCCCCCGGCTGCTTGGACTGTAGGGATGCCACAGGAGCCTCACTCGGCCCACTGACCCCACCACTGAAAACCCCTAGGACTGCAGCCCCTTCAACATGGCCCTCGCTGGGCTGCGGGGTCGACGGCGTGACGTAGCAGGGCAGCCGCAGCCCGCGACTGTCCAGTCCTCTTACCTGAGTCGCTTGACCCTTCACCTCATAACCTTTCATTACATCCCCTGCTCAAGTCACTGCTGAGGCCTCACCCACTGTCCACTCATGGTTGCCCCGAGTAAGCCTTGGGTTCAGCGATGCGACTGGGACCACCTATGCTGCCAGCTTCGAGATGACACATCCCACGTGCTGGCTGTGGTAGTCGGGCTATCCCCCTGGACCCTGCAGGCTGCCACGCGGGAGCTCCCTGCCTGAGGTGCTGCACTCGGGCAGGATTCTGGGCGCTCTTCTAGTCTTTCCTGCTTAGAACACACTTGCTGGAAGCACATCAGTTTTCACACAAAACAACTGGCTTATGTAAACCCTGATCCACAGTGAGAAACCTCAGGCGAGCCCTCCTGTCTTCGCCCACTCGCCGTCCCCATGGTGGAGGGTCCTGTCCTAGTCTGAAGGACTGAGGGGGACGGGCCGTCTGAGCGAGGCGCTGCTACCTCGGTGTCCCACTCGGTGCCTTGGTTGGAATTCCGCTGAAGGACAAGACGCACCATGTCTGGTGTTGCCACAGGGGCTACGGGAGCCCTGGCCTGCTCTCTTCACAAAAGTCCACACATTCCACGTCCAACAGCAGTGGGTAAGCACTGCTGAGACGCCGCCCTCCCCTTCTCCCCACAGGGCACGGAGACCCTGGCATAAAAGGCCTCTTCCTCGACCTCAGGAGCAGCGGCTCCAACCCCTGCCCATGTGGACAGTGGCTGTCTGGGCACTGCCCGTCAGCTGGTGGGCGAAGGACACTGAGTTTGCAAGATTCTTCCATATTTCTGTTTCAACAGCCCGCCTGCTCTTAGTCAACAGAGTATCTCAAACTAAGGAGAACGAGTCACACTGTAACACCTGACAGAAAAGCAGGAATGGGTGGCCTGTCTTCCCTCTTGGGCAATAATGCCATCACATGATGTCTAGGCCTGCACCCTCCCCACAGACAAGTCCACGTACCGGCCACGACGCGCTCCACAGCGTAGTCCAGGTTGGACGTGTGCACAGCCGTGTGCCCCTCCCGCGCCGCGTGCAGCGCGGCCTCGTTACAGATGTTGGCGATGTCAGCACCTGTCAGCACGGGGGTGGGGGGGTGTTAGTAGATGCAGAGGTATGGGGGTGGGAGGGGAGCCACCCTGTCCCCCTCGAGCTGCCCCACAGCTGTGGTCAGCAAGCAGCCTCTCTGGACCCACTCTATCCTTCCACCCACTGTTCCACACACACACTGAGGGATGAGAAAGGTTCTTGACACCCATGAAGTTCTAGTTCAGGATGTTAAAGGTCCAAAAAGGGAAGAAACCTACACCATGGTAACGTGTTTACACCATAACAGGCATTTTTATTTACATTACCCTGTGAAACGAGAACCATACACAAAAATCTAGATTTGTGATAACATGGAGAAGGTGGCAGGGAGGGACATGGCCTTGCAGGGTTGCCTCTGGTGGGGAGCAGTGGGAGGGAGTGAGGCTGGAACCACCCTGGGGCACAGGAGACAGAACCTCGGGGAGGAGTCCCTCTACCTCCGCCTGCTGGGCACACACCACTCCCACCCCAGCTGCGCTGGCCAAGGAGCCCAGAGCAGGGCTGGAGAGTTCCCGGGGAGGCCCGCCCCCGTTGCCCTGAGACCAGCACCCCTACAGCCCTACCACTGAAGCCAGGCGTCAGCTCTGCCAGCCGCTGGGAGTAAAAGCTGCTGGCTCGCGTCAGCTTCAGGCTCTTCAGGTGCTGCTCAAAGATCTCCTTCCGTTCCTAAAGAACAGGGTACAAAGGTCACAGGTCAAAGGTCACGGGTCAAAGGTCACAGGTCAGAGACCACGGGACAAAGGCCACGGTGCCGGCTCCTTGCCTGCTGATCAGGAGTCACTGGTTGTAAGGTCAGTTTCTACTCTCAGAAACAAACTCAAGAGCCTCAGACGACACTTCCATGCGTGTGCACAGAAATGCTAACCTGCCAGCCACCTGCTACACTCGCCATCCAGACCCTTCCCTGCTTCTGTGGGGTCTCCTGCTCCCTCAGGAGCCACCAGAAAGACCCGACACCCTCGGAGGTGGGCATCCAAGTTGAGGCCTGAGGCGGCAGGGCCAAGAGGTCCCAGGTCTCACAGCCGTCCACCCCAGCAGGGCCACTGTGCAGCTCACTCTCCAAAGCCACCAGCACATGGGCATGAGGCTCTGCAAAGGCTGTCCACAAAACTCAGCCCAGACATCTCATCATAAAGGTCAGTGAGAGTCAAAACCAGAAGGGCAGGGAGCCTGGATGGACCAGCCAGGTCGCACTGACCTGCAGCGTGGGAAGGTCGATGAAAACATGCCGGTCCAGTCGGCCCGGCCTCAGCAGAGCATTGTCCAAAATGTCAGCCCGGTTGGTGGCTGCCAGGACGATGACGTGGTCGGTGGTACCCATTCCTGGAGGGACAGACAGTGACCATGAAGGTGCAGACCCTAACTGGGCAGCTTCCCCATGGACTGCCAGGATAGTGGCACCACCAGAAAAAGTGAGTACCACCCAGTGTGTGGGAAGTACCACACACGTCAGCTTTGCTGATGGAAAAGTGAAAGTCTCACACGGAAACGAGAGGCTTGCTGGAGGCCAGGGCCCTGGACAGACCTGAATCCACTCCCTGGGCCACCTGGGGACGGAGGGGCACCCCCACAGCTTGTCTCAGACTCTTGCCTGGGTTGCCCCTTAGGGCTGCCCAAATGCCTGCCCGCCAGAGGCTGGGGCTATGAACACAGAACCGTGAGATTATGTAACAGTGAAAAGACACTGAAAAACGGCAGAAACAAAGGGTACATGAGAAAACAGCAGCCATACCAGGGGCTCCAGGAGGGTGCTCCCGCAGAATGGCCTCTGTCAGCAAGCAGCCACAGGGCTGGTTTAGGGACTCACACAGTTGTGGACACACAACAAGGGGGTGACACCGTACAGACGTCCCCACGGCTGAGTGCTGACTCCTGTGCAGGGCCCGCACTGCAGGTGCAGGCTGTGTGCTGCCACCCCAGCAGCTGGGCACGTGCCTCTGCTAGCACCGCCATGAAAACCTCACCGTGCCAGCCCCTCACAACTACTTACCAGTCTGTTCTCTAGAATTCTGTCATTTGCACAATCTCATATACATAGCCTCTGAGGCTGGCCCTTCTCACTCGGCATAAATCCTGAGGTCCAGTCAGGCAGGCTTGCACGACAACACCCGGTGTCCACACTGTGGCCGGGTGAGCACACACAGAGCTCGGCCAAGCACCCACTGGAGGTCGCACAGGCTCTTTCCAGGGTGTTCAGCTATCACAAGGGAGCACTGGAGCACCGTGTTCTGTGGACACCGGATCAGTGTGCAGATCAGAGGTGCTCAGTCTCTTCAGAGCCGGCCCCAGAGGCTGCACGCTGTCCGCCCCTGCTGCAAGGGCTCAGGTTTGCTTCACAGGCGCCTTTTCACAGCTGCTTCACTCACTTGAGGGCCCAGGTTCACACAGGGGTCTAGGATCCAGTCTCCTCATCCTCACCATGTCTGCTGTTGCCACCACCTTGATCAAAGACTTGAGTACACAGCTAAGTGACAAGTGATGCATGTGTGAGGACAGAGTCACGGCCCAGTCGCTAGGGAGCTGAGAACACGCTCTGCTGAGGCGCTGGCTGCACTTGCGAGGAGGTGAAGGCTCAGTGCAGGAGGATGGTGCTCCAGCAAGATGTGCTGGAGCCGTCAGCATCCACCCACACAGTGAGCCAGGACCAAGCAGCACGCCTCACGCAGATTCAGTCAACACGGGTCACAGACTAATGTTTTTCCACATTCGGCTGTGGGAGGGCTACCTGTGGTTCCCTTTGTTTCCTTTCTATTTTTCTATTGAAGTGTATGTTATTTACAGTGTTCAGGTACGCAACACAGAGGCTCCACTATATTTGCGTATATGTATGTATTCATATACATTCTCGCAGGTTTTCCTCCATCACAGGTCATCACAAGGTATTGACTATAGGTCCTTGCTGGTTAGATACCTGGGCCTTTTCAAGAACTTGGGCAGAATCGAGTCCACGGGGGTGTGGACGGAAATGTCCACCATGGGGCACCAGCCTCGAAGCCCTCTCTGTGCCCATCAGGCTGTGAGAGGGGTGGCAGGTGCCTGGCTTCCGCCTGTGTGGTGGGCTTCCTCCAGTGCTGGCTTCCCACGGCCAGCGCCCACTCCTCCCCAAGGGGTGACAAAGGCTCCTCAGTTGCCCCTGCAGGCGGAAGAGACTCAGCTGTCTCTGTGCACAAAGGCCCCTTCGCAGCAGCCCAGCCTTGCCAGGGCTTCTTGGGGGCGTCCGGGGAGGGGGGGGCTCCTGCGGCTGCAGCAGAGCTGGCAGAAGTCGCCCCCCTCCCAGCAGCACAGAGGAGCAGAGAAGGCGCCAGCTGGGAACACTTCCTGGGGGTGCACGTCGCCTGGAGGGTTGGTCTCTGGCCTCAAGTGCAAACAACAAAAGGAGCGGGGGTGGTGGGGGGGATTGTTGCACTAGGGCCACAAGGGAGCCCCCCATCACCCACACGAGGTCACGACTAGACACGAGGCTGTGCTTCAGCCTGACGACATGTTAGGAAACCCCCACTTGGAGAGGAGAGGGGCAGGAGAGGGACACCCCACCATGTCCCTGCACAGCCCCCATGACAGTGGCTTCAAAATGCTCTGCCTGTGTCCCACAGGAGCACCATGTTGCCCATCTCTCTAAAGAGAGCCAGAGGTCACAGTCCTGTCTGCACTTCTGACAGCAGACTCATCACATCCTATGATGGGATATCTGGGGAGCAGGAGTCTAACTTGCACACAAACAAACGGCACACTCAGGATCCAGCCGCTAACAGCCCAGCACACAGGAAGGGGCAGGTCAGAGTTGGGGTGGGGTGGGGGGCAGACCCCACTGGGGACCCCATCTCCAAGAAGCATCTTATATAGCCATGTCTCAGGTCCACAATTCTTGGGCATGTCCTCCCCAGGAAGATGGCTCCTCAGACCTTGCCCACGGGGCAGAGACCCTGAGCTGTTCTGACTGACACACCCAGATGCAGAGAGGGACGCGGGTCTGCAGGGGCACCCCCAGATGTAAACGGTCCTCAGGCCCTGACGAGGCTGCCCTTTCCTCGGCCATGTGAGAAATCACTTTGATTTTGAACCTGAGGGGCTTTCACATGATGAAACGCTCCCGTGCATCAGACCCCTGACCTGACCAGCTGCTGGCCTGAATCCCGGCACCAAGGTAGGGGGCATGGGCGCCAAGGCCAGTTGCACGGCTCTTGCCAACACCCGGGCCTGACCTGGAGGAAGTGTCAGCCACAAGGGCAAGGACGGGGAGTCAGGCCCAGGCTGGAGAAGACTAAGGAGACAAGACACTTAGGCAACATGAGCCTGCCCTGGGCCCTGTAGAAGCGCACATCTGCCCGAAGCCCAAGTCATGCCTCTTCCACGTTGGGCTTCAGGCTGCGGGGGGTGGGGGGGAAGGATGCTTATAGGAATTCTGACTGCTTCTGCAGTGCTTTTTAAGTCTGAGACTCTGAAAATAAGAGGCCAAAAAAAGTTCCACATTTAGCCACATACAGCCAGAGTCCATTGCCCCACACACTGGTTACCAGATCCACCATCCCAAACACTAAGAACACTTTAAAGAGGAAAATAAATACACCAATAAATGATTCTCTTAGGACCAAAACTACTTTGAGGAAAAAAGCATCTTTCTCATCTATAAGACCTAGAACAGAACTAGAATTCTGATTAAAGAAAACTTACAGATGGCTCCTGCAGAGCTGGAGCATGGGGAGGGGAGAATGTGGAGCTGGTATTTAATGGGGACAGTTTGTGTTTGGGAAGATAAGAAAGTTCTGGATACGGATTGTGGTGATGGTTATACAACACTGGGAACGTACTTAACAGCCATTAAACTCTGCACTTAAAAATGGTTAAAATGGCTTAATTTTATGGTTTGTATATTTTACTATAAACAACACAAACACATAATATCTACACACATCCCCCCCCCCCCAAGAGGATCTTACAAGAGTAGCTCAAGAGAAAAACAACTCCATTAAATAACTGTGTGGCAGCCAGTTCCAGTGGTCATCTCAAGGACAGCTGACAGCATCCCCGGCAGTGTACCTGAGGCACCCACTGTGCCCACGCTGGGCACATAGACTCTTGTCAGCATGACCCTTGACCGCCTCTGAGACAGATGACCACTGTCATGACCCGACCCCACATGATATTCCCAGCTTTTCTTCCTTATTTCACCACTGCCCTGACTTTGGGAAATGGAAAGTTATGTTTCTGGTTACCTCCTGTTGGAGAATAGTTCCTGGTGCTGACGTCCCCTCACTGTCCACGAACATCCCTGCCAATCCCGGCCCCATGGTGCTCACCGTCCATCTCCACCAGCAGCTGGTTGAGTGTCTGCTCCTCCTCTGTGTTGGAGAAGCCGGACACGGCGGTGGAACGCTTCTTGCCCACGGCATCGATCTCGTCGATGTACACGATGCAGGGGGCCCGGGCCCGGGCTTCCTTGAAGAGGCTCCGCACACGGGCTGCACCGAGGCCTGAGGACACAGAGGAAGGGGGAGCGGGCAGGTCATGGGTACTGCCCAGTAGGTGGCCTCTGCTGCGCACTGGCTAGCCCACTCCCTCCTGGACTCCCCAGGACGTCAGCGCCTGCTCCTTCCATGCCCATGACTCCCAGACACAGGTCTTGTGTTTCCACCTTCACCCCCACAGCCCCTGACACGCAGCCAGGTGGGCCCACCTCCAATGACCTCCACGAATTCCGGGCCAGCCATCGCCAGGAAGGGCACCTGGGCCTCCGTGGCCACTGCCTTGGCTAGCAGCGTCTTCCCGCAGCCAGGGGGGCCGAGCAGCAGCGCGCCCTTCGGGACCTTGGCACCAAGCTGAAGGAAGCGCTCTGGGCTCTAGGAGAGCAACAGAATGTGCAGGCTGATCTCTGGGCTCCAGAGAATCATCCAGACACGAGCCTTGGAAGGCTTGGGTCCTGTACTGGTCCTGTCCATGCAGCTTAGGGAGAGCACAGTGCTCCGCCATGACAGGTGATGGGCCGCGCAGGGCACCATCGGTCCAGGTTGAGCAAGGGACACACCGGGAGCCCAGCATCAGGCTGGGCAGTACCCCCCACCACCACCACCCCCCACCGTGCCCCATGTGCTCACCTTCAAATAATCCACGAACTCCTTGACCTCCAACTTGGCCTCATGCATTCCTGCCACGTCTTTGAAGCTGACTCCTTTCCCCATCTTGCCATCCACAATTGTGAAACGAGCCATTTTCAGCTGATTCTGGGCAGAAAGATAGAGGGCGGAGGCCTATGCAGCCCTGTGGGGCAGGGCGGAGGAGCCTGGGGCCTGTTCACCTGCATGTCCTCCCACCCCTCCACTCGCTCAGATGGCAGGTAAGGGCACAGTCCAGACACATGAGGGCAGTGACAGAGGCTGCCTGGCACTGAGCAGTCTGCTCTAAAGGAAAATGCTTCCCACATTAACCAGGTAATTTAACAGAGTCTGTGTGGGAGTGTTCTTATTTCTCTATGTGACTTTCCCCATTAGCCTCTGACTTCTTTTACTGATTTATATAAAAGTTACCAAAAGACACTCAATTCTGCAAGTGTTGGCAAAAACGTCACCTCGTCAATTTCTGGCAAGCAATCTGGCTGGACAGACAAGCTTTCAGTGAGCAGCTCACCTCAGCCAGAATCTCCTTCAGCTCTCAAAAGAGGCAGTGTGTGGAATTCGTCACAGTGTTATTTAAGTACAACAAAAAGCAGCCCAGAATGTGCAAGAATTATCACACCGATTGAGCCAGGTATACTGCACCCCAGGAGACACCATGCTGCCCAGTGTGGATGCAAGTCCACAGCCCCCAAGGGCACATTCGGGGGGAGGCAGGGGCACTCCATCCCTGCCACCCCAGTTCCCAGGAGGGCCTCCTCTGTGGCCCTTTGCTGACATGGCCGATGAGCCAGGTACGACTTGACAGGGAGGGCAAGTGCACACTGCACTGAATGCACTGGAACAGGAGAATACTTGTGGAGTGTATTAAGGTTGTTTTTTTGAAGACAACCTTCCAAGATGTCTCAGCTAGTGCATGAAACCCCCAAAAGTCAAGCCCAGCTGAGAGGGAAGTGCAGAGCACACTGTAGTATGGACCCCCTTGGGTTCAGCCCCTCCCACGTCACAGAAGGGGCCTTGGCTAGAGCTGGGGAGCGGAGCCCCCATGTCAGTCAGACAGAAGGAAAGAAGAGCTGCCAGATCGGCCTTTGACAGGCTAGCATCCACTGCACATGCATCTTGCCATTTATGGGAGAGAGTTCAGCCCAAACACAGACAAAATCCCAATGGCACAAGTTCAGGGGAACAATCTGCACAACTTACAAAAGCACTGAATCCACCTTCCCGTCCTGTCATCCCAGCCAGACGGAAAACATACCACAGGATGGCCAGGCCCACGGCCGTCATCCCCAGGGCGTAGAGGGCACTGGCGAGAGAGACAGGCGGGCAGAGGCTCAGGCGTGGCTCTGGGCAGCCCCCAGACACGCCTCACCCAGGCCGGGCCCAGACCTCCCAGAAGGAAAAGGACTCCCTTGCTCTGAGACCAACCTGTGGAGCCAGCACTGAAAATGCATCTCCTCGTCCAGTTCTTACCACCTCCCTTCCTTCATACGTTGCCCAGGTCTGGGTACCGCGGTGCTGAGCAGGCAACACCAACCAGGCATGAAGCCAGAACAACCACCCACTGTCCAGAGCCCTGGACAGCTCACAGCCACCAAGAGCAGCTCTTCACCGTCCATGCGTTTTGCTTTCAAAAGTAGGCCATCACTTTGGGTCACTAAGCAAAATCAGCCTAACAGTACAAACAGCAAACCCTGGGGCCTCACCCCAGATGAAGAGGGGTGTGCCCCCAGAACAAGCAGAGATGCTGCCTGGGAGCCCTGCCCCCTGAGGAGCTGGATCTGTGACAGACACAAGGCACTTCCCAGATGTCGCCAGTCCCCATGAGGGGACACAGCCCTGTGGACACCGCAGTCCCAGCGCCCAGCTACATGACCAGGCCCACCGAGTAACTGGCTGCCCCTCAGGATGGTACAGATCCTGCCACCCATAGGCCCTGCACAGAACCAACAGGTTCCCAGGGACCTCTGCTTCTCCCTTCCCCGCTCCACCTTCCTGTTTGCAGATGGTAGCAAACCCACCCTGCGCTGAACAAAAAGCACCACAGACTACTGGAGCAGTGACCAAGGAACTCCAGACTTTCCACCCCACGCCACCCACTCCCAGGCCTGCCTCCATCAGGGGCTCAGTTCACTGTGGACACAGCCAGTGTGAGACTGGACTTTTTGTCTCTCACGTCACAAAGTGAAACCTGGTTTAGTTCAGAGGCCCACAGAAACGACCAACCTACTTTCCAAAGAATCCTGTCCGCTTGTAGGAAACTGGAATCCTGTCCTTGCCTTCGATATTCAGCTCATCCTCGGCTGCTCGAAGCTTCTCTTCAAATTTGTCGATATTTGCCACCTGCATTCGGTACATCAGCGCCAGCCGCTGGGGGCAGAGCGCAGAGGCATGTGAGAGGGCCAGACAGGCCAGACAGCTGACCTCGAGGACAGAGAATGGTGCCCCCGCCACCCGCGGACAGCTACAGGGCTTCAGAAGCAGATGCCTGCTGCTCAGAAACCTCCTCCACATCTTGAAAGTTTTTGTTTTCTCAAACACAATTACAATGAAATGTTCACTAACAGAAGGTTTTGAGCAAATGTAGGGCAGCACATGCAACTGAAACTCAGGACCAGGCTGGCACTCTGCTGGAGGGCAAAGCAGACCCTGACAATGAGCCTCCAGTGTGGGACCTGGACCCATAGTCACCCTCCAAAGATTCATTGTTTGCCTGTCGGCTGGACCTGATAGTCAACCAAGGGGGCTTTCTCGGTCCTCAGGGAGACGAGAGGCTAAGAAGAGGGAGTGGGTGGCATTTCCTGGAGGCTAGCGGGAAGATCTCATCACTGCCACCCTGGCCCACATCAATCATCTTTCCAGCAGCCATGCTTTCCAGAGGAAACTGTCGTTTCTGATTCTAAGCTCTCTTGGAACTTAAACCAAGCAACTAGCTCTCCCTCGGAAGTTTCTTCAAAGTCTAGTGTGATAACCATCATTATGAGTGGTCAGGCTCCACTTTGGAGGTTAAAAGGTCAGGTCCTCACAGCAGGGTCCACCCAGCCAGGTTCCAGCACTGTCACAGGTACCTCTCTGCTCCCTGATGCCAGACCTGCTACTGGGGTGAAGCCCACGCACCCCTTTGCCTCTCCCCTGCTGGCATAGCTGGGGGCTACCTGTGGTGGGGAGGAGCAGGGTCCCTCTCCTCTGCCCCCTTTCTTTCCTGTTTCTTCCAAGGGCCGGTCCTTGCCAACCTGTCTCTCTGCCACCTGTTCCGGCTGGAGGGGTTTCCACCTCCCTCCTGCTGCTCACATGCCTGGACGTCCGCTGCCACCCTCCCGGCTCCTCCCGAGGACCACATGGCCTGGCCCCCTTCTCAAAGCCTCCAGGCTTCTCCTTAAATCAAGACACTCACGGCTGGCTCTAAGCAACCCCTGCTGGCGCGGCACTCACAGGCCGCCCGAACACCACGGCACCGGGATGCAGGTACACCTCCACCACGTCGCTCTCGGGCACCACCTGCACCCGCTGCACCTCGCCCTTGGCCAGCATCTCGTGCACGAAGTCATTCCAGGAGATGTTGCCTCCGCTGGAGCCCAGCGCATTGAGCAGACTCATGATCACTGCGATGACGAAGAGAGTGCGCAGCCGCTCTCGGTACATCTGGTCCTCGCGCTCCCGGCGCCGGCGCTCCTCTGCCGGGTGGGGAGCAGGCGTGAGAGGAGGGCGGAGCTCGACGCCCGGCCCCGCGCCCCGCCCCACGGCCCTCCCCACCCCCACCCTACACCCAAAGGAGGGCTCTGCAGTCTCTGCCTCATCCCACTGGGCTTAGTTTTGGTCCTCGCGCTCCCGGCGCCGGCGCTCCTCTGCCGGGTGGGGAGCAGGCGTGAGAGGAGGGCGGAGCTCGACGCCCGGCCCCGCGCCCCGCCCAACGGCCCTCCCCACCCCCACCCTACACCCAAAGGAGGGCTCTGCAGTCTCTGCCTCATCCCACTGGGCTTAGTTGCTCAGTCTACACTCGGCCAATGTTACAACAAAGTGACGAATTACAAGCTGTTCAAGGTCACTAACATTCCTGTTCACTGAGGTCCCATCTGCTTAGATAACATGAAATCATTTTTAAAGTAAAAAACCTCCCCAGGGTACTTCCCTGGCAGTCTTGTGGCTAAGACGGCCCTTCCGATGCAGGGGGCGAGGATTCCATTCCACAGGTCCCGGGGGGAAGCCCCCCTCTGCCCCCCAAATTAGACTGATATACCTTCGTCATCCTCAGGGCTCCGCCCCTTGGCTTTATCATTGTCCTTGGTCTTCTGCTTCCTCCTTGAAGTGTTAAAATAGTAAGTGCCTCCTACAAGAAACGGAGAAAGTGCTTAACAGCAACCAGACCTGCAATTACAGGGAGACATTCAGGACAAAGGGCTTCCCTGGTGGCTCGATGGGAAATTATCAGCTTGCAATGCAGGAGACCTGGGTTCAATCCCTGGGTTGGAAAGATCCTCTGGAGAAGGGAATGAGAGCAAAAATGTTTAGCCACTCAGTCGGTCTGACTCTTTGTGACCCAATGGACTTAACTTTTCCCCATGGAGCCCATCAGGCTCCTCTGTCCATGCGATTTCCAGGCAAGAATACTGGAATGGGTTGTCATTCTCTTCTCCAGGGGATCTTCCCGACCCAGGGATCATACCTGGGCCTCCTGCATTGCAGGCGTAATTCTTTACCATCTGAGCCACAATGAAGACCAGAAAGGAATGGCAACCCACTGTACTATTCTTGACTGGACAATTTCATGGACAGAGGAGCCTGGCGAGCTACACAGTCCATGGGGTTGCAAAGAGTCGGACATGACTGAGCACTAACATACACACTCAGGAGAAGAGGACACTTCCAGACAACCAGCAAAACTATCGAGAACCTACCGGCAGAGGATTTAGAAATTCAGATGATCGTTCTTGGTACAATCTTTACTCACTATAAATGATAAACTACTTCAATTGAAGATGTGTTTTTATAATTTAAAGTAGCCAACGTGATGGAATAAAAATTATGAACATAAACTTGAGAAAGTGTCATGGGTCTGTGGGAGAACTACCCTTCCCACACACACAGCCGCCTTCAGGAATGAGCAGCACAAGCGGCTGTAGCATAGCAGCGCCCACTCCACACATTGAGGCTCTCGCTCGTCCACGTCAGTGCTTAAAACAGGGGAGAGCGCTCAGAAAGCCACTGGGCTGCACCTTCCTTCACAGATACTAACAAAATCACAAATAAAACCGCCTCTGTGCCCACCAGACACAGGGCTGTTGGAGGGTGAGGGCTGTGCTGCTGGGGGCACATGTGGGCTGCTGGGACTGGGTAGGCACAAGGCTGCTTGTCTGCAGCAGTGGAAGATGCTACTGTTTTCCTGTTCCAACTGAATAAAAAAGGGAGTAAAAGCATAGGTGTCAACCCTTACGGGCCTTTGACCTAAGATAAAGGAGACAGCAGGGGACTTCTGTGGTCCAGTGGTTAAGATTCCCCCTTTCAGTGCAAGGGCGCAGGTTCCATCCCTGGTCTGGGAACTAAGCTCCCATACGCTACCGTGTGCAGCCAAAAGTTTTTAGAAAGAGAGCAAGACAGACAGCAGGATATCACAAGATGTCATGAAATGGTGCAACTCTAGTGTAAAATCAAGGTATGTTTACTTAATTTCTGCACATAAACCATACACAGTTTGTAAGTTCTTACTCACCATCGCTGGAGCTCACTACAGAACATGAAAATGTTAGTTGCTCAGTCACGTCTGACTCTTTGTGACCCCATGGACTGGAGCCCACCAGGCTCCTCTGCTGATGGAATCTCCAGGCAAGAACGCTGGAGTGGGTAGCCATTCCCTTCTTCAGGGGATCTTCCCAACCTAGGGATCGAATCCATATCCTCCTGCATTGCAGGCAGATTCTTTACTATCTGAGCCACCAGGGAACATGAAAAACATTTGTCAAGCAGCCCTTACTAAGCGTGTAGCTCCTGAGTAAGCACTACTGGAGCTGGCTATAGAACATGAAAAACCTTTGACAAGCAGCCCGATCATGGCCAGAAATTTTTTTTTCCATTTATTTTTATTAGTTGGAGGCTAATTACTTTACAATATTGTAGTGGTTTTTGCCATAGACTGACATGAATTAGCTATGGATTTACATGTGTTCCCCATCCCGATCCCCTGTCCCCATGGCCAGAATTTTTAAAAAAAGAAGAGACAACTCAAAATAAGCAAAAGTGGCCTGTTCTGACCTTAGACAAATTTCCTTCTCAAAAACTTCACTTCAGAGCATCTGAGGGCTCACACTGGGTAGCAGCTGAAGGGCCTCTTAGTGATTTCGTTTTTTCTGACAATGTCAAACAAGCAGTCCTCTTAATTTATTCACAATGCCACACGTTCTGCCTGTCACTTCTGTCTTCAAAGATACAAACCTAGAAGTTTCCAGAGTCCGACTGGATTCTGTACAATGTGCTGTTTCACCAACAATCTGCTGATTCCTTCAAAGGCAGGGGTTAGCAGTCGCAACTGGAAACTCTGAAGAGAAAAGAAGGACACAGAACCTCAATCACACAGACGCCACAGCACAGCTGGCAGTGCAAACTCACCCCCGATACAAAATTTTTCCTAAAAGCGCCAAGATTCATTTATGTTTTCAAAGGCAGGGGTTAGCAGTCGCAACTGGAAACTCTGAAGAGAAAAGAAGGACACAGAGCCTCAATCACACAGACGCCACAGCACAGCTGGCAGTGCAAACTCACCCCCGATACAAAATTTTTCCTAAAAGCGCCAAGATTCATTTATGTAATATTTACACTGCCCTGAAATATGAACCAATAATCTGAGCATTATTTCAAAGTTTTACCATAACATCAAAAGAAAAAAAATTTCCAAAGGTCAACAGCAAGCAAATCAAAGAAACGCTGAAATGGAGGTGCAGAACACTGGCTGCCATTCTGTGCCCCAGGATTCCTGCAGGACACAAGGAGCAAAGGCTTCACTGGTTGTCCAGACCTTTTGCTCCTGACATCTCCAGACAACCATTACTTGTGGAACATTCCCAGGAAGTCCAGTTTCCCACTTGAATGTATTTTATGTTATGGTCAATGGTGCAACTTAATTTTCTTATCTCAGTGGTAGCAATTTCTTCATTTTTATTGACTTATTTATTTTAAGGGCTTCCCTAGTGGCTCAGATGGCAAAGTCTGCCGCAATTCAGGAGACCAGGGTTTGATTGCTGGATCGGGAAGATTTCCAGGAGAAGGGAATGGTTACCCATTCCAGTATTCTTGCCTGGAGAATTCCAGGGACAGAGGAGTCTAGCGGACCATAGTCCATGAGGTCCCAAAGACTGGGACATGACTGAGTGACTAACACACTTAACATACATACATTTATTTTAAATTCTTTCCCTTAGTTCATCCCTGGTCGGCTGCTGTTATGAAGAAAAGTAACTCCTTACCAAAGGAGTATGCTACCTATAATCTCCTATTAGCAACATGTTAAAAATTCCTAGTACATACAATTATTATCCAGTTTAATTAATACTACTGTACTTGGTTCAGTAATGACCAGGAGGCATATAAGGGAGAACCACAGAGAGGCAGACTGGGTATCATAAACAAGGAATAGTGTGTCAGGCACAGCACACACAAGTCATTCTTCAAAGTCAACCCTAAACGCTGTTTGTTTAAACCAGATTATGTTATTACTGTTCTAGTTGTTAGTGAGGTAATCTGTTAAGTATCCACAAGTATGTGTGAATTGCCTACTTCAGTCCTTATTTATTTTCATGGAATAATCAAGTCTGACTAAAATTAATGAATTATGATTTTCCTTCTCAATAGAACTAAAAACAAAAACAAGTGTAATACATCCATTCAGTTCAGTTCAGTCGCTCAGTCGTGTCCAACTCTTAGCCACACCATGGACTGCAGCACACCAGGCCTCCCTATCCATCACCAACTCCTGAAGTTTATTCAAACTCATGTCCACTGAGTCGGTGATGCCATCCAACCATTGCATCTTCTGTTGTCCCCTTCTCCTCCTGCCTTCAGTCTTTCCCAGCATCAAGGTCTTTTCAAATGAGTCAGTTCTTTGCATCAGGTGGCCAAAGGATTTTTACTTTAGTTACTCCTAACTCTGCATGTCTGTAACTTAGTTTGCTTGTCTGCCCCCTAACTCTGCAGGAGTTTCAGCTTCAGCATCAGTCCTTCCAATGAATATTCAGGACTGATTTCTTTTAGGATTGACTGGTTGGATCTCCTTGCAGTCCAAGGGACTCTCAAGAGTCTTCTCCAACACCACAGTTCAAAAGCATCAATTCTTTGGTGCTCAGCTTTCCTTATAGTCCAACTCTCACATCCAAATATCACTACTGGAAAAACTATACCTTTGACTAGACAGACCTTCATTGGCAAAGTAATGTTTCTGCTTTTTAATATGCTGTCTAGGTTGGTCATAACTTTTCTTCCAAGGAGTAAGCGTCTTTTAATTTCATGGCTGCAGTCATCATCTGCAGTGATTTTGGAGCTACCCCAAAATAAAGTCTGCCACTGTTTCCCCATCTATTGCCATGTAGTGACGGGACTGGATGCCATGATCTATAGTTGTCCTCAGACTCAGAAAGGGTGTAGAATAGGATTATGATATGAAATTGGTCTTCAACTTATGGTAAAATACAATAACAATACATTACAACCTAAAATATGAGGGTTGGGGTCCTAAGAGAGGGCTAAAAAAAATCAGTGAAAAAAAGCACTTAGGGTCTGTTTCCAGAGTGAAATGTTAACAGTAACAGGGCCTGGAACACACCCTTCACACAGACGGTCAATGAATTTGTGTCCATAACATGTCAAGCTACACGATAAGAGTAAAATACAGTTACAAGGTACTTTGCTCACACAAAAAACCGCTCAGAGCAATTGGAAGGCGATAGAATTCATCCTGGAGTGATCTGATCTATATGAATGCAAATAATTCTCTGCTAGAAATTAGTGAAACTCTTACTCGATTCAATTTCAAAACTCCATGAAGACGCGCAAAAAATATCACTATACGAAACAAGCGCTGTTGTTGTTCAGTTGCTAAATCCTGTGTGACTCTTTTGCGACCCCATGGACTGTAGCCCGTCAGGCTCTTCTGTCCATGGGATTTCCCAGGCAAGAATACAGTGGGTTGCCAGTTCCTTCTCCAGAGATCTTACCCATCCAGGGTACCATCCTGCATTGGCAGGCCGGTTCTTTACCACTGAGCCACCAGGGAAACCCGAAACAAGGACTAGAAAAGTCCAACTGTGCGGCCTCACCACTGGTCTCTCCCTCGGGCTGCCCGCCGGCCTCTCCTCCGGGTTGCACGCAGGAGCGGCCTCTCGGAAGACGAAGCCGAAACGGCGGAGAGCATCTTCCACATTACCATCCCAAACGCCGCTGCCGGAGGCCCGCACATTACCTGCAGAGCTCGGCCTCCAGGCCCGACGAGGCCCATCGGAGGCCTGTGGACGACATACGGCCACCTCCACTTGGCCCCGGAGGAGCAGTCTGGGCTCCAGCCTGAGTAGGGGCACCGCAGCCGCCCCAGACCCGGTCCCGGACCCGGTCCCGGACCCGGGCGGAGAGCGCGCAGCAGCAGCCACACGGCCGCCATGTTGACCCGGAAGCCGCGCCTGCTCTATTGGGGGCCTCCGCGGGGCGCCTGCGCGGGCGGGCGTCCTCCCGGCGCCTGCGCGGTCGGGGCCTTTTCAAGTCAGGCCTGTTTGTCAAGCCTCTGTACCCTGCGATCGAGTTCCTTGACCGAGCGATTCGCTGCAACTCTAATCCGACTGGGATTCTTTAGCGGGTTTGAACTGCCACCTTGTACTGCGAGTACAAGCGCTGCAAGTAGAACTGCAGCCTTGGTGGGCCCCGACTGGGGGCATCAGACACCTCTCCAGGTCGCGGCTCCCGGGAGGATTTGGCTCAGCGGGTCCAAGGGCTGCGGAGGGAGCCCGGGAGCTGGAAGGGAGCGAGCGTGCGCAGATGGCGGGGCCCGCCTGAGGCCCTGACCCCGACTTCGTGCCCGAACCCTGACCGACGACTCCCGCCTCGGATCCAGACTCTGAGTACGACTCAGACTCCCGGACACCGACCCCGACTCCCACCTAGACCCGGGCCCCTGACCCCTACCCCGCCGCAGTCTTGGCGCGAGGAGGATGCTGCGGAGGGGAGAGTTTCGCTCGTCGGGGCTCTGGCCGCAGAGCCTGCCCGGCTGGTGCCCCAAGCGCCCTGTGCGCGGAGAGGAAAAGGAAAGGGCTTAGGGAAAGAGCAGGGACTTCAGGGTAACTGAGCCAGCTCCCGGGCTCGAGCGGCCAGCAGTCTTGTTCTACAGATGCTTAATTTTGAAGAGGTAACCGTCTCCTCCAGTATTCTTTTCTCCTGAAGACAGGCCGACTCCCTCTGGAAGTCACACCTAGCTCTGGAGACCAGGATCACAGCCTAGGAGACTGTAGTCCACTCCATCCCTGGGAGAAGGGGAGGAGTCTGGTTTTATCCCTGGGATTGCGGACCCCAGGCTCCCTGAGGTCTGGTGCTGGAGTGCTTAGCCCTGAGACTGCTGAATGTATGGTGACTTAAGTTTCTGTGTTTTTCTTTATTCCCCAAATTCCTAAGGTCATTAGGCAATAACCGTTCTTACTGAGTGCTAGCTAGCGCTTGGCTCTGTAGCAGGCATTCTTTTAATCCTCACAAATGTGAGAAGTAGATACTTTTACATCTGTTTTACAGATAAGGAAACAGACTCAGGGCAATTTAAAGTAACTTCTACGAGCTCACAGCTAAGAAGGGAGGGACAGAGTTTCAGAGCTGGTCTGACTGGTTTCAGGGCCTGTGCTCTCAGTCCTATGGCTTTGTGTTACAGCAGTAACATGTACGACGTATAAGTCCTGAAGCTCAGAAGGTTTAGGGACATTGTTTTAAATGCAGTCTTGATTATTGGTCCTCGGCTCCAGCAGCCAGGTTCTTTTGTGTGGAGAGGGGCTGCCCCTGACCCGCACATCTGGACTGCTTGCCTTTCTCACTTTCTCTTTTCACAGTCCATCCATCCTCCCTGGTTTCCTCCTCCGCTGTTTTTCTTTCTCTGGTTAAATTGTCCCGCCCACATTCTGCCGTCCACTCCCCCTAGACCAGTCCCGTGACCGTGATCATGACCAGGTTTCATGACCAGGCTTCCGAGAGTGGTTTCTTGCACCCTTGCACCCTATTGAAGCTTATGCAATGCTGCCCTGACAGGAAGTGACCCAGCCCCACCCTCCCCCGGGTTCCCTCTTCACCCAGACCAGAGAATGTGTGACTCAGAGCCTCTAACAAATTTGAACGTGTTTGGGGATAGTGTAAGATGCAGTCTCATTAACATTACTTGAAATAAAAAAGCGTTATTGGAATCTAAGCTCTTTTCAGGAGATTCATCTGAAAGCGGTGCAGGGTGATGGCAGGAGCCATCTGGAGAAAGCGTGCTGGCTTTTGCCCTTCTGAGCCTCAATCTTCTCATCAGTAAAATGGAGATAAAATTATCTGCAGAACAGGCTGATATTGGGTGTCCCTCAGGTTTGTTGTAAAGATAAAATGCAACTGAAGTGAAAGCATCCAGGATGTCATGGGAAATGAGTTGCTGGGAAACATTAATTCGCTCGTCTAAACAGATTTACTGAACAACTGTGCTTTGAGAGCTGGCTGTGACCCAGACTCAGGGAGGAGGTGGACCTTGACTCTGAACCCTGTCCTGCTCAGTCCCACCTCTGCAGTGGCCTCGGGGACGGGTGTTTAGTTAGAGGACTCAGATGCCCTGTGGCCTGGACTCCGGAAGAGAAGGGGGTGGGGTGGGGTGGGGTGGCCTCAGCTGACCTGGCTCCTCCCAGACCCCACTCCTGAGGCACCGCCTGCATTTTCCTGAGCCCTTCCTGTTCTTCACCTGCTCTCTCTTCTTTCTGTACCTTGTGACTTGTGTTTACTCATTTTGACTTCCTCAGCCGTCTGAACCCTGTGCATATCAGGACCTTTGGGCTCAGCTCCCTTTAATTGTGTGAGAGGTGATCTCATGGTGAGCTGGCTCTGACCAGGGCATGTTGAGGTTGCTGTATCACCTCCCCAACACCTCACACAAAGCGGGGCCTGGCGGGGGGCAGGGGCTGGGGAGTGGGGGTTGCCGGAAGGGCAAGGGAGCAGGCAGGGCACTCCATCTCCCCAGGCTTGCTGGACTCCCCGGGGCTTCAGGCAAGCTGCTCAGGGGATGTCACTCCCGTTGCCTTGTCTGTAAAATAGAGATAGTATTTTTGCAGTCTGGGGACAGAAGTTGATCTTTGGGGCCATTTTTGGCTTTAATATCTAACTTCGTTATTAATATCAGAACAAATAATTATTTGCTTCTTCCCAAATTAGGCAGCTTGGCAGCAACAGAAGCAAAGTGCTAAACTTGTTTTTAAAAAATCACAGGTCTTAAAAAAATAATAAAAAATAAAAAATCACAGGTCTGACAGGGATCTAATGTATAGCACAGGGAACTCTGCTCAGTATCTTATAATGGAAAAGAATCTGAAAAAGAATGCATATATCTATGTATGTGTAGCTGAATCAGTTTGCTCTAACCTGCAATTAATACAACATTGTAAATCAACTACATTTCAATCAAAGTTTTTAGAAAAAGGCCCAGTGACTCCACACTCTGCCTGGCCTTGGAGCCCCTAGGCTGTCACACAGGTCATGGCTGTACCTGTGCCCATGGTGGCAAGCTTCTGGCTGAGGCTGTCTTTCTGCTTTGAATGGCCTGGCCTACACCTGAGTTTTTCGCCAATGTTAGGATGTCATTTACAAAATAGACTCCCTGGTGGAATGTTTGAATAAAATTGTCATTTCTCTGAACTTCGGTAAATTTTGCTTCTGAACTTAACATCTTTCTTAGGAAACAATTGTTTTTCGTATGGCTTATTATTGGATTTTATATATCACATGTACAACAAGATTTTGTAATGTTCGATTTGTTCTTGAAAGGGGAAAAGTCCTTGGGACTTCCCTGGTGGTCCAGTGGCTAAGACTCTGTTCTTCCCATGCAGGGGGCCTGGGTTCAATCCAAGATCCTAGATCCTGATGAAACTAAAAGTTGGCATCTGCAACTAAAGATTCTGCATGATGCAACTACAAAAAAAAAAAAAAGGTTCCACACGTCACAACAAAGATCAAAGAACCTGCGTGCCACTGCAAGTAAGACCTGGAGCAGCCAAATAAATATTTATTGAAAGAAAAGGGAAGACTCCATTATTACCAGCAGAAAACCTGTCCAGGAGTTTGCATATGACTAGGTAGCTACCTGTCCCTCAATGGTTCTCAGTATGTGTATGTAGGAGGGCCTGGAAAGGGCAGGTCTGCATCACCTCCCAGAGGTCGAAAGCACATGCCAAATTCATTAAAGTAACCCCTTGCTCTGTTGATTGTATCAGCTACCTATTGCTATGTAACAGATTACCCTAAACTCAGCAAGTTAGAGCAACCAGCATTCAAGGCCTCACCACTCCTGAGTGTTTGGCTGGCTCTGGCTCAGGGCGTCTCACCAAGATGCAGTGCACATCACACCCAGGGATGCAGTCATTTAAAACTTGCCAAGCTGCCAAGGGGATGCCCTTGCCTGGCTCCTGGCCTGCCGGTGGCAGCTGCTCACCATGTGACTCTCCACGGGCTTCTCAGGTGACGTGGTGCCATGTGGCCCAGTCAACCCAAGGGTGTGAAGTCCAGGGGGCAAGGGTCACCAAGCCTCCAGCTTGGAGGCTGCTGCCCACAGTAATGACTAGAGATGCCTGCTGTTCATATCTGCTTGGCAAAGCCTGACTGCTAGGTTCCTCACTGCCCCCATTGGTGGCCCTAGCCCTTTGTCACACTAGTAGTCACCACACTGGTTAGTTAATGGACATTCCCCAAGTCCTTTCTTAGGACTTGTAACCTTTTTTTTTTGGCTGAGACACATGCCTTGTGGGATCTTAGTTCCCTGATCAGGGACTGAACCGGTGTCCTAGCAGCAAAAGTGCTGAGTTCTAACCACTGGCAAGTCCCAGGACTTGTATGTGAAGATGAGGAGCAGCCCCTGCCTTTGGGTTATGGAGGAGACATGTGTGTTGACAGGGCTGCCAGCACTCTCCCGGCTGTGGTTGGAGTGGGCATTCCCTTGTCACGAGCCAACTGTTTTCCTACAGTGTGAGTTTGCAGTGGATTTTCTAACTGTCCAAGTTGAGGTTTGTCTCTCTAGTCTTTAACCACTGGGGAGACATAGCCGGACATGTGAGATTCACCTCTGTGCCCTGGCACCATTGCAAAACACCGTCTGGGTCCAATTACCAGGAGAGAGGGACCTTGTTTAGATGTGCAATATAGCCTGTATCTGAAAGTCACTGGCTTGATATCCCTCTGGTCCCATGGGTTACTTGTTAAGGAGATGATAAGGGAAGACAGAAGGCTTCGCTGCTCTGGATTTGGTCTCCCAGGAGCTCCTGCTGGACCTGCCCTGCAGCCAACAGATTGCTCTGGGATCCTGTAGCCACTGGTCAGATTGTAGCAGTTCCATTTCATCTGCTGCACAGAGCACACCGTCTCCCTGAAGGAGGATGGTCCTAGGCCTCTACGCCCTTCTGTACTAAGACAGAG